GGGGGGGGGGGCCGAAATTTGGGCCGATCGAGACAATAATGTCAATGTCCTAGGGGTTCCGGGGGCATGCCCTGCGAAATTTTTGTGTTCTAGACGCCTGAAAATAACATTTGAGGCGTTGTGGGCTATCATTTTTTTTCTTTTTCGCCCCACCCCTAAATCCACCCCTGTACATCATCCTATTTAAAATTTATTATCATCCTATTTAATGTTAACATTAATAAAGGTTTATACTTTTCATTTGTTCTTTTAATTTTTAAACAATTGACGGAATGCCCTGAATGAAAACGGCATAGGACAGACGGATGACTTCAGCATTGGGAGGCCCTTGCCCTGCAGTAGGCCAATAATGGCTGAAATGATGATGAAACTTTTAAAAAGTTTGAATATTATGACGAGCAAGGTCTACACTGATATGATGTTGAATGCAATTCCAATTTAAGTAATTATGTTCTTTATATCACCTTAAGTTATACTAATCAAATTGTTAATATTTATACCGTATTCGTTATGATATGGTAAAGTAAAATCAGTTTTCTGTTATTGATATTCAATGCAATTCTCATTTTCCAGAAATTATTACGGTACAATTTAATTAGTATAACTGAAATTAATATAAAGAACATATGTTTTTTATATTAATTTCAATTATACTAATTAAATTGTTTATATTTATACCATATCTCAATGTCGGGATGTAATTGCATATGGTAAAGTAAAATCAGTTTTGGGCTCACACATATACCTTTTTCCTTGTCGAGATTGTGCATATCTTTAACAACGATTTTTTTTTGTGAAACTAGTCAATTCTTTTGGAAGTCCTCAATGGTTGGCTTCATTTTCTTAAATTAAACACAAACAGACTATGCCATAACACAAAAAAAATGAAAGTTTATGCATATGATAGTTCTGTTCAAAATCTTCTCTCAGAAACATAAAAAAAATTGCTAAATTGATTCTTAAAACAATTTCCTTATAAAATAAATGTTGAAATAGTTCCAGCTGTAGAACTTGCACACACTTCAACATCAATCATTTTTAGATTTTACTTTGGTTAAACTATTGTTGTATTCTATAGAAATACTAACAAATTTTAGAATTAATCATTCTATAATGGGCATTTATAAAAAAGTACAAAGGCAATTAGGTAACAATAAGAGCAATAATACCATTATTCCAAGTGCACACAACATTAAAATACTGTACATTTTCAATCTTTCCTGTTCTAATGACTTTGCTGGTATAAAAGAAAATTCAACGACAAATGTTACATTGTAACACCACCAGTTTTTTCACCATCATTACTCTAGCCATAGATCATTTCCCTTCAACCGATTCTTAACAAAAGCATTTCTCAAGCACACTGTTAGAACTCGTTATAAATATTGTCTGAAAATTAGATGTAATAACCAGACTTTGCTCAATGAAACTTAACCTAATAACTATTTCAATGTCTGGATGTTATTGCACATTTTATTTCTTTCTCTGTTCTAATTTTCTCGATTTGAGTCAAGGGTAAGTTTAATGATTAAGCTTCAATTTCCATTTTTTCACAAAATGTCGTCCGTTTATTGTTTGTGAACAATGGATAATGCAAACAGGCCTAAGGATACGCTATGATATTTTTAGGGGTTAAAGGCAGAAATATTGATTCCTTTAAAAAAGGAAATTAAGATAGTTGGATTGGAACGGACTCCTCCACCCAACATGTGGCTCAATAAATCTTACTAATAAAATTATTGTACAGCTATTGTGTTGAATATGTGTTTTTTGGTTATTCATTTGCTCATAAGATTATTATAACACATAAAATGTAAAGAAGCAATTCTTTGTTGAATGATGATGCATTGTATAATAATATACATATTTCTCATTCATTTTTTTCATCAATTCCTAGTATTTATTTTATTTCTTTTGAGTTTTTTCCTTCTTGGTTGATGATGATAATTTAATAGATTCACTTTATTTTATATTTAAGTTAGTAACAAATTCACATCTTTAAAGTTAACAATCTAATGTTAAAATATATTCTGAAGTGGAATTTAATAACTTGGAGGTTAAAGTGCTTGGCTTTCAATCCCAGAATCCTGGGTTCGAACTCAGTAACTGGCAAGATATTTGCAGATGGATGCGAAAAGAAAAAAGAAAAAAAAATTATGTTTCCAGATTTCACCACAGATAGGGTATCTTTAAATATTTGAATATAAATGATAAACATGGTATTAAATTGCAAATTTCAAAATTCTAAACAGTATTTTCTCATTTTTGCATCCACATCGAACTCTGACCTGTCATACTGACGCACATCTGCGCCCCTTTCAAGTCCCATTGTGAAGCTTTTAGTGAAGGACTTGTTTTTAGTCATCAGAGAAAGCCTGCCATTTACTAGGATTGAACTTATAACCTATCGGATTGAGGGAGAGCCATTAAACGCCATGCCACAATTCCTTCATGATCTCCCTTGAACCTCATCAACATGTTTGCAAAGCTCAAAACACGACCACTGACACCTAAAAATTCTGAAAATGTTTGGAAAAAATCTGAATAAGAATTTTGAATCAACTCAAACTCTTTAAAATGATATGTTTATTCCATTATGCAATTGGCCAGTCAATTTTTGTCTGACAGAAATAAAATAATTAAATTAAACCAAATCTTTTACAGACATGGAAAGAAGCTACTAATAAAATTATTTTCTATTTAATGAAAATGTTATTTTTTCCTAATAACAAAAAAGAAGGGACACTTCAACATACTCAAATAAATTGAATTTAAATAAATAAAATCATCAAAATAAGAATCATTTAAGTTAAAAATATAAAGGCCTTTAAGAATATTTGCACACAAATTATACTACATAAAAAAATCCTTTTCTCTTCAATATCTTTTCTCTACAATAAAATGCAACTTATTTACTAATAACAAATTTCTTTTTAATCTGGTACAGGCATCAATAAATGCAAATACAGGTATATGATTGTATTCGCATTCAAAGAAAAAAGCAAAAAAAAAATGCATATTCTTGATGAGAATATTTTTTATTTGTCCCAACAAATAGCCAAGTAGAGTTTTTTAAGAACTCATCTATGCAAAATTGTGGATACAAAATCATAAAATTCATTTTGATCAATACAATCCATTTTACTGCTCAATCTCGTTACGAGGTATTTTAATGCCATGTAACCCCACTTATAGGTAGCACCGTTCTAATCCTGCACTACGTCACATGTCCATATAAAATATTGGATTTTTTTCTAGCCAAGCAAGTATATATATATTGCTTTCAACAACTCATTGATTTCTTCTATTATATTATGTTTATGAAAAACAACCCGTTTTTAAAATGCAATTCCATTTTGGCGTTATTACATTCTTATAATTTATTTAAAAAATCTAAACCTTTGTCCACACTATCAAATTTTATATGAAAAAATATTGATGTGCCATGCTCATATTTGGATGTTATATAATATAAATTTCATGTGACAAATATTAATGTGATATGCCCATATTTGGATGTAATATATAAAATTTGACAAATATTAATGTGATATACCCATACTTGGATGTGATATTTTATACATTTTATGTGACTAATATTAATGTGATATGCCCTTATTTGGATGTAATATA